GAATGGGGTGGTTCCCGTAAAAGAAATCCTTATAAAATCATTAAATTACTCCAATTTTTGTAGTCAAATTGTATACCCAATGCCATACCAAATCAGTAAGGAAAGTAGTAAAGTCGGACTGGGCCGACAATATGATTCCCTTCATCACCTTGGTTATATTCTGCATATGTATCCCAACAGACGTCGCCTTTTCGAAGGGACATTGACATGAAATTTAACGAACATAAATATGTGATCTGTATCTATATGTTAACCAACTAACATCATCCATACATATGCCATTCTGCAACCTATTCATTCGGGCAGATTTGGAGTCGTTTGCGTACAATGGGCCAAATTTATTTAAATCGATTTAAGGGGACCCCCCGAAGGGCTTCTCAAACTGAAGGGCTTCTCAAACTTTAAACACGTTTTTCTTTAAACATTTTTTTGCGAATGGCGGGCACGATAACTCAAAAACTAATAATCCAATCGGTTCCAAATTTTGCAACGTTTCTCTGGGAGTGTATAGCTCTCGTATGAACTAGGATAAAGCCAATCGGTGAAGATCTTCCTTATTTTTTAACTTGTTTTTTGGTAAAAAATCGGCGATTTTCTAAAAATATTTTTTCAAAGGTCCGCCATTTTGTTTTTCAAAGGTCCGCCATTTTTGAAGTCAATAATCCTAGTTCATACGAGAGCCAGACATGTACTCTTTCTAACACCGTTGGAATTTTCGGATTCCGATGAGGAGTTATCATGCCCGCCATAAAAAATAAGGACTTTTCTTTAATTACAAAAAACAACAACAAAAAATAAAAAATTTTTGTAAATTATTTTTCTTCTCTTTTAAATCTTCAATTATATATGTGCAAAGTTACAAACCTTAACAAGCATTTGTATTCATTTACCAGCCCATTAAAAATCTTGAAAAATTAAAATCGGGAAATGGGGGGGGGTTCCCTTAAAGCAAACTTGATTCACGTTATTCGGTATACCGCACTGTTCAAATTTTAATCTCAATCAGTCATCCCTGCGTTTCAACAAAACGCAATAACTTCATTCTAGTCTCAATTAGATAGGATGTGCAAAATTTTGCGTCAATCAGACAAACATTAGAATTTTAGTGCACCATTTTCCTAAAATCGAGCGAAAATATATACGGAGGATATATCGAAATATGTACCGATTAAAACGAAACTTGCCAGAGATTAATTTGTTCAGTACATTGTACAAAATTGTGTGCCTATCAGACAAACTTTGGGACTTTAGTGCACTATTTACATAAAATCGGAAGAAAATATATATGGGAGCTACATCTAATCCTAGTCCGATTTTCACGAAAATTAACATACCTCATTCTAGACTCAATTCAGTACGCAAACATCGTGCAGATCTAATGATATCTAAATATGGGAGCTATATCTAAACCTGAACCGATTTTCACAAGACTTAGCACACATCACTCTAGACTTAAATTAGTATGCCATGCCATATTTCGTGCAAATCAAAAGATATATAGAGATGTTGGTGCAACATTTACACTAAATACGACGAAAATATATATGGGAGCTATATCTAAATCTGAAATGATTTTCCATATTACTTTAGAAGTACGTTTCTGAGTTAGATATGACCGGTAGTCCGTCTGGCTGGTTTGAAAGACAGCCCATAATATTATTATTTAAAACTGTTATGCGATGTTACGACAGCTATCATGCCGATTTTATCGATTATAATGATCATAACGATTTTATCGACATTTTTGACGACCGGCCAACTGTGTGAGGTGCATCTTCAACATCAAAAAATTTTGAACGGAATCTACGAACCCAAAATTGTACATAATTGGCTGTTACAGTATCGGAACCGGAATGTACCGAAATGTCACTCTTCCAACGAGCATAAATCTGAAATTGTTTGCTCGATATTTTAGACTATCAGTACTTTCTATCAGTACAGCCATCTGCCGAAATAATAATGGATTTCTTTTTCTCCAAGATGAAAAATAAAGTCTATAAACCCACTCCTACTGGTGTTCATCGCTCCCTTCAACAAAGGGTATTGTTTCCATTCCGATTGAGACACCTCAAAACATGATTTTTGAACAAAACAACACAACAGATTTTGTTTTGATTTTGAACAGAACGACTCAACTGAATCTTCTGGCCACAAACATCGTTGTTTGATGGCAAGTCGGGCGAAATCAAATGTGTGATCTATATAGATATTTGAACCAATTAAAAAACAGAGACATACCATTCTGAAATCAATGAAAAATTGCAATCAAACTAGCAGACTTGGATCCTTTGGTGTTTTTATTAAATCGAGCAAAATTATGTGTAGGAGCTATATGTAAATATGGACCTAATTGAGCAACTTTGCATACACCATTTGGTTTTTGCAACATGACTCAAAACTAAATTTAATACAATCTGCCAAATTTGGTGTTAATTGAAGAAACATAGGCTCTTCGGTCCACCATTCGGAGGAAAATATATATAAGATCTATATTTAAATCTGAACTGATTTTCTCCAATGTAATTTAAAAAAAAAAAAATACATGGACGGACATGCACAAATCGACTCAGAAAGTGATTATATGCATATTCTCAACAGAAAACATGTGTCTATCTCGTTTGCTTTTGTTTGTAACAAAATTATTTATTTACTAATTTTTATACCCTACTCAACTATGTTGTCAGGGTATTATAGCTTTGTGCAGCCCCAAAAGTTTGTAACGCCGCGAAATATTGGTCCTAGACCCACCTTTAAGTATACCGATCGTCATATCTCGACTAGCTGAGTCGATCTAGACATGTGTGTCCGTCCGTCCGTCTGTCCGTCTGTCCATTATAAGTTGTACACACGATACAGGCCACAGTTATGGACCAATCTTCACGAAATTTTGCATGTAGGATGGGTTCTGGCCAATGAAGACCCCTATTGTCTTTGGGAAAGATCGGTTAATATTTAGGGAATGAAATGGACAAAATACTAAATTTTTGTCGGTTTTTCTGGTTGCTCCAGAGGCCGCAATATTGGCCCGAACATCGTGAAATTTTCCATGGAGAAGGGGATCGGGCCAAAGAATAAGCATACCTGTTTTCATAAAGATCGGTCAATATTTAGCGGGTCAAATTGACCCTGACTTTTGTGTGAAAAATGACAAAATTTGTATTCTATAGCGTATACTTTTATCCCTGAAGGACATAGACCCGACAAGTTTATATTATATCCAAGAGGAGTGGTTGACCTTTAAATTAATACCAATTATATTGTTGTATGTGCTCGGATGTGGGAGTTACACCTAAATATTTACAGGTATCTCCGTATTCGTATATTATTTAGTAACCCATTATCACTCTAGAGAGCGGAACTATAGCGCTGATCGCTTTGAAATGTTCCAGGTATGGTCAAGAACAACGCCTATAAATTTCGGTGATGATCAGATAATAATTTTGGAATGAAGTGGACCAAAAACTTAATTTTTTGTGTTATTTTCGAGTCGATCTATAGACCACAAATGAAAGCCGAATATCACAACACTACCCACGGTGAAGGACAATAGCTGTACTGAATACTCATAATATTCGGAAAATATGTCAGTGTGAGGAAGAGGTGCTGTTTACCTCTAATGGGGTAAGAGGGTGCAAATATCACGAAATATTGCCCTGGCTCGGAATAAACATCCGCAGAAAATTTGAGTTCCGTGGTAGTTGTGTAGGGTATCGTATGGTCGGCCCCGTCCGACTATACTGCTCCGCTCACTGGTTATACCCTACACAACTATGTTGTCAGGGTGTTATAGCTTTGTACACCCCAAAAGTTTGTACCGCCGCGCAATATTGGTCCTAGACCCACCTCTAAGTATACCGATCGTCATATCTCGACTATCTGAGTCGATCTAGACATGTGTGTCCGTCTGTCCATTATAATTTGTAAACACGATACAGGCCACAGTTATAGACCAATCTTCATGAAATTTTGCATGTAGTATGGGTTCTGGCCAATGAAGACCCCTATTGTTTTTGGAAAAGATCGGTTAATATTTGGCGATGAAATGGACCAAAAACTTTTTTGTCGGTTTTTCTGGGCGCACCAGAGTCCGCAATTATGACCCAAACTCCGCCAATTTTTGCATGGAAGGCGATCAATTTTATTGTCGTGTGTACTCGGATGTGGGAGTTACTCTTAATTATTTACAGGTGCCTACGTTCTCAGATATTATTTAGTAACCCATTACCATGCTAGAGGGCGAAATATATCGCTTTGAAATGTTCCGTGAGGTTCCCGTTATGGTCAAAGACATGCCTATAATTTTCGGTGATGATCAGATAATAATTTTGGTATGAAGTGGAAAACTTAATTTTTGTGAGTGGGTTTTTTCTTTTTTGAGCCGATGGCCACAATTGAAAACCGAACATCACAACACAAGCCAAGGTGAAGGGAATCTGGACAAGTAATTAGAAGGACTGCACTGAATATTAGTAATATTTGTTGACCCCTAGTCAGTCAAGAGGGTGCAAATATCGCGAAATATTGGCCAGACTCAGAATATAGAACCACACAAAGTGAAACTTTCTAGGAAGTTGTGTAGGGTATAATATGGTCGGCCCCGTCCGACTATATTGCTCCGCTCACTGGTTTGTTTTATATATTATTTATTATTGAATATAAATATACAATTTATTTTGTTTTCTTATATACATTTCACATTAACTTACACATACATACTTATGTACAAAAGATTCACACAATCTTAAAAAAAAACAATCAATAAAAATCAACAATTTGGAATTATACTAAAATAATAACAAAAATTATTGGGAATAACTTAAAGTACATAGATTACATTGTCACTAACACAATGGACAACAAACAGGTGGAGGGGCGACACAAGGAAACGAATATCAATCCTTTGAGCGCCAGCAAGAAAATCATTAAAAAAATACTGACTGAAAAATAATTAGGCTAGTAAAAAAAAAAAGCAAACATCACAAAGTGTCCTAAGCATCCGGTTGACACTTTTCAGGGGGCAAATTTGCTTTGATTTAGTTTTTCCGTAGTTTCGGCATCAGCATCGGTGGGTGGGGCCTTGGGCAGGCTAAAGAATTTCTGTAAAACACAAAATTGCAATTTAGAGTAATTTGAGAATAAATGTTGCAACCCAAAAGAACATTTATGCTGCAGTACTAAATAACTGCAGTTGTTGTTGTTATTGTAGTTTGTAATTCCCCATTTTTAATGGATTTCATTTAAATTTTTTGGAAATACCCTGCTGCCAACCACTAAGGCTGCCAAATGAAAAAACAACAAACTACCACGAAAACAACAAACAAACAAACATCATCACTCACATCATGTATGCCAAAGTTACGAGCCTCCTCCATAGTGTCGGGTAGTTTTTTATGCAACGTTTCGGGTAAAAACAATGCACCAATGGCGCCAATCAGAAACAGTGCACCCAAAATATAATACGGACTGCGAATGTCAACCGTGGTGCCTAAGTACACCAAATACGGTGCAACAACGCCAACAGCATTCGCCAGGATGGTGCCAAGGGCAATGCCCGTTTGACGCATACATGTGGGATAGATTTCCATACCCTGCAGATTGGCGGTGAAGAAAGTCATTGCATTTAAGAATTTGATAAACGCTGCCAAGCCCATAATTACAACTTCGTATTTTTCATCTGTAAAATGAGTAAAGAGGAGGGAGATAAGTAGAAGATTAAAATGACAACTTTAGGGGCTGCTGACTGCTCTAACAAACCTGTAGCCAATAAAATCAGAGGTACACATGCCAAGAAGGAAATAAAAAACGAAAAGCTGTTGGTAAAGCGGCGACCATATTTATCACCTAAAAAATTTGAAGATTTTAGTAAATTTTTGTAAATTTAAATTTTGTTTTTAGGTATTAACAACTTACCCATATATTTGCCAACCATATAGGCAGGTATCTCTACTATACTCTGTATTAGGAAATTTAAAAATGGATTACCATTCATTCGGGAACTGAAAAGTACCAGCGTGAAGTAGGAAACAGCTACCACACACCTGCAAAATAATTTTAAAATTAATGAATATTTTTTCCATGGCCTTATAATAGCCGCGGATTTTTATACCCTACACAACTATGTTGTCAGGGTATTACAACTTTGTGCAGCCCCAAGAGTTTGTAACACCGCGAAATATTGGTCCTAGACCCACCCTTAAGTATACCGACTATATCTCGACTAGCTGAGTCGATATAGACATGTGTGTACGTCCGTCCATTATAATTTGTAAACACGATACAGGTCACAGTTATGGACCAATCTTCACCAAATTTTGCATAGGGAATAGGTTCGAACCAATGAAGACCCCTATTGTTTTTGGTAAAGATCGGTTAACATTTAAGGGATGAAATGGACCACATACTTAATTTTCGTCGGTTTTATGGTCCAAACATCGTGCCAAAGAATAAGCATGCCTGTTTTGATAAAGATCGGTCAATATTTAGCGGGTCAAATGGACCCTGACTTTTGTGTGAAAAATTACAAAATTTTTATTCTTTGGCGTATATACTTTGCTCCTGAAGGACATAGTATATTCAAGAGGAGTTGTTGACCTTCAAATTGATACCAAACTTATGGCTGCATGTACTCTGATGTCCATAGTATTACTATTACTCCATTAGAGGACGGAAATGTAGCGCTGATAGCTTTGGAATTGTACATGAACTTCCGATTATGGTCAAGAACGACGCCTATAGTTTTCGGTGAAGTTGAGATTTCATTCAGGGGGTGCAATGAACCGAAAACTTTAATTTTGTCAGACTTTCTAGTCGCTCTAGAGGCAATTATTATATGCAGAACATCACATATTTTACACTGTGAAGGGGATCTGACCAAATACTTAGAGCGGCTGTTTAGATGATGATCGGTCAATATTCCGAGGGTCAAATCAAACCTAAAGTGACAATTTTTTATTTTAAGGCGTAAAAATTCACTTCAAGAAAAAAAATTGGAAAATATGCCAGGGTTAGAAAGTGAATATAGAACCGCCGAAAGTATGATTTTCATGGTAGTTGGGTAGGGTATCATATGGTCGGCCCCGTCCGACTATACTGCTCCGCTCACTGGTTTAAAAATATTTTTTCATGTCCTACAAAAAGCGTGGGTATTATGTCTTTGTGCATATGTTTGTAAAAGGCAAAAGGAAACGAGGTAGACACATGGTTCCTTTTGAGAATATGCATAGAATCACTTTCTAAGTCGATTTATGCATGTCCGTCGTACGTCTGTCCATGTTAAATTTAAAACAAAGTACAGATCGCAATTATGATACGGAATGGATGAACTTTGGCACAGCTCATTCATTTGGCGCAAGGACGATCCCTATTGAAAATGGGAAAAATCGGTTCAGATTTAGATATAGCTCCCATATATTTTCATCCGATTTAAGGTAAATGGTGCACCAAAGTCCCTACATATCTTTCGATTTTCACGAAATTTGGTACAGCGTACTGAATAGAGCCGAGAATGATGTGTGTTAAGTTTCGTAAAAATCGGTTCAGATTTAGATATAGCTCCCATATATATTTTCGTCCGATTTAAGATAAATGGTGCACCGAAGTCCCTATAAAACTTTCGATTTGCACGAAATTTGGCATAGCGTGGAGAATTAAGCTAAGAATGATGTGTGCTAAGTTTCGTGAAAATCGGTTCAGATTTAGATATAGCTCCCATATATATTTTCATCCGATTTAAGGTTAATGGTGCACCAAAATCCCTATATATCCTTTGATTTGTACGAAATTTGGCATAGCGTACTGAATTGAGCATAGAATGATGTGTGCTATGTTTCGTGGAAATCGGTTCAAATTTAGATATAGCTCCCATATATATTTTCGTCCGATTTAAGGTAAATGATGCACCAAAGACCCTATATATCTTTTGATTTGCACGAAATTTGTGCACGGCGTACTGAATTGAGTCTAGAATGACGTGTATTAAGTTTCGTGGAAATCGGTTCAGATGTATATATAGCTCCCATATATATTTTCGTCCGATTTAAGGTAAATGGGGCACCAAAGTCTCTATATATCTATCGATTTCCACGAAATTTGGCATAGTGTATTTAATATAGTCTAAGATGATGTGTGCTAAGTTTCGTGAAGATCCGTTCAGATTTAGATATAACTCCCATTTATATTTTCGTCCGATTTAAGGCAAATGGTGCACAAAGTCCCCTATATATCTTTCGATTTCCACGAAATTTGTCATAGCGCACTGAATGGAGTCTAAAATGATGTGTTCTAAGTTTCGTAAAAATCGGTTCAGATTTAGATATAGCTTTCATATATATTTTCGTCCGATTTAAGGTAAATGGTGCACCAAAGTCCCGAAAATATCTTTCGATTTCTACGAAATTTGGCAAAGCGTACTGGATTAAGCCTAGAATGATGTGTGCTAAGTTTCGTGAAAATCTGTTCAGATTTAGATATAACTCTTATATATATTTTCGTTCGATTTAAGGTAAATGGTGCACCAAAGTCGCTATAAAACTTTCGATTTGCACGAAATTTTGCACAGCGTACTGAATTAAGCCTAGAATGATGTACCCTAAGTTTCGTGAAAATCGGTTCAGATTAAATATGGCTCACATATATATTTTCGTCCGATTTTACATAAATGGTGCACCAAACTCCTAATGGTTGTCCGATTAACACGAAATTTTGCACAACGTATCAAATTGAGACTTGAATGACGTTATTGGGTTTTGTTGAAATTGGTGCAGATCCAGCCATAGCTTCCATATATATTTCGAACGGGTGTCTGATTGTGATTATCAATTTTGCCCGAATTAAATTAAATTTATCATAGGTTTGCAGAAAGACATGAGAATGTTCCTTCGAGGGAACATTGACATACACATTGTATTTTTTAAAGAATTTTTTTTTCATGTCGTACAAAAGGCGTGGATTTTTTAAAGAATATTTTTTCGTGTCCTACAAAAGGCGTGGATTTTTAAAGAATATTTTTTCGTGTCCTACAAAAGGCGTGAATTTTTTAAAGAATATTTTTTCGTGTCCTTCAAAAGTCGTGGATTTTTTAAAGAATATTTTTTCGTGTCCTTCAAAAGGCGTGGATTTTTTAAAGAATATTTTTTCATGTCCTACAAAAGGCGTGGATTTTTTAAAGAATATTTTTCATGTCCTACAAAAGGTCTGGAATTTTTTAAAGAATATTTTTTCATGACCTACAAAAGGCGTGGATTTTTTTCAAGAATATTTTTTCATGTCCTACAAAAGGTCTGGAATTTTTTAAAGAATATTTTTTCATGACCTACAAAAGGCGTGGATTTTTTTCAAGAATATTTTTTCATGTCCTACAAAAGGTCTGGAATTTTTTAAAGAATATTTTTTCATGACCTACAAAAGGCGTGGATTTTTTTCAAGAATATTTTTTCATGTCCTACAAAAGGCGTGGATTTTTTTCACGGACTTTTCACGGACTTTTCATTTCACTTTCCCTATTTTAAACGATTTAAAGACTTTATTTCATTTTTTTTTTTTTTGTTAAAGGCATGTTCTGTCTAATGTCAATTCATACTTACCAGCTGAAGCCCATAATACAAGTGTTTCTGGCCAAACGCCAACCGGAGAACAGCGAGGCTATGCCGTAGGTAACTTCTTGTTGGGTGCTCACATAGATGGCGATCAACTCTTTTTCGCTCATGTCAAATTGACGTCCATTGATTTTGGCAATTTTCTTAAATTGCCCAATCGCATCACCAAAGCGTTTCTTGCTAATCAACCAGCGTGGCGATTCAATGGCATATCTAGGCGGGTGGACATTCGAAAGATGCAAAAAAGAAAATAAAAAACGGAAAAATATAAAATGAAACTAGAAATAGAAACGAAATCTAGATTTGATGGGTCTGTGGAATTTGATGGGTAGCAGGCAGTAAGTGAATAAATGACTGACTGCCTGAACGACTGAATGAGTGAGTGACTGAGTGATGAGGCAAAAGAAAAACAAAGAAAATTCAATTGAAACAAAGTTACGACCATCAGCAGTGGCTATATCGCATACACAGAGGGCATACGAAATTACGAATAAAACATTCTTCTCATCTCCCCTTCCCCATGCAGGGTCCCTTTGCAATTGTTTGGTAAGATAGTAAACAGACATTGAGGGTAGCCCCCAATCCATTTCCGCGTCTACAGCCCCACCATTCACTTCGGTATTTACGTCAGTGCATATTTGGTCATAAAACAAAACATTGTGTAAAAAGGTTCCGGGTTTCTTCTTTTTTTGTTTGTGTCGTTGATGCTGTTCTTCGTTGTTGTTGGTTTTTTTCTCATTTTTTTTTTTTGTTTTATCGAAAGAAATTGAAAACAATCGAATGAATTTGATTGGATTTCAAATGAATTGAACACACACACACCAGCACACACATACAACTACGCAGACACATAGTCATACATGTCGAATTGAGCATAAGAAGACATCGTGCAATTGCTTTATGCTTCAATGAATCCTTTTTCGGTGGAAATTTAATGGTGTGTGTGTGGCGGGGGGATAGGATAGAGAGGTTTCGGAGGACATAGCTGGCAACCAATCCAGCCATATACTTTTGCATTTGTTGGCAATTGGTTGGAGAAGACCAAGAAAGAAGCAAATGCTGAACGAAAACGAAAAAAAAGAACACATCAAACCAGGAGACTGATACCGGCAACCAACACTACGCTACAGCAATATGCTTCGTGGTCCTGGCAATGGCATTGTTTTCGTTTTTCCCAGCTTAAAGAGTTTCACTCGCTTCGCTGGCTCATTCGTTTGGTGCCTGCGTGTACCTCTCTGTGTGTCCGTGTGTGTTCCATAGTTCTTTTTGCAAATTGTCGTAATGAATAACAAAGGAAACAAGAAAATGCGAAAAAAACAACCACAGCAAACCAAAAAACCCAAAAGGATCAAACCACACTTGCATAGTTATCCTGGCATTGGAAATCCTTGCAAGCACATGTATACATGTTCACATGTTTCACGGCTAGAGAGGTATTAGATATTAGGGTGTAATGTACATTTTTGGAAACCCTCTAGAATACAATTTTTTTATAATAAATTCCATTACACCCCATTATATGTGTACGTGTGTATTGATGATGATAATGTTTACACAGAAAAATTCTCCGAAAATGTTTCGACAGTATGTTATTCTTTCTACTCACTTGGAGAAAATCAATACTAAGGCCGTTGGTATCGTTGTTATCCACATGAAGGGCTCCCATTTGCGTAACCACCAGAAAAGCAATGGCATTAATGTTGTTCCAATTGACCAACCAAAACTCTGATATATGGCGATTAAACTTCGATCTTGTCTGAAATGAAATTAAGAAGAAGAGGAGATATGTTAGTAATTTAAAGGAAAACAAATTAGACTTAAAATTTTACGTCGAAGAATTAAATAATTCAAGTAGACATAAGTAATATGTAAGGAACAAACCATAGGTGGATGATGCCGAATTAGTAAAATTGAAAATGAAATTTCGTCGATTATTTGTTGTCAATGGCTATGCAACATGTGGTAACTGCAAAGGACAAGCAACCCACAAATAAGTCAATAAATAATCAGTTAATAACTTCAAAAATTTCCACATGAGATGGTATTTTCATAGCAATGACAACGTCATGGTTCAGTGAGTTTCAGCAATGTCACCCTTTTTTCTTGAGCAATTTCGCTCCGATATACAATTTTTGGGTAATTTGTATACACTACACAACTATGTTGTCAGGGTATTATATCTTTGTGCAGCCCAAGAGTTTGTAACGCCGCGAAATATTGGTCCTAGACCCACCTTTAACTACACCGATCGTCATATCTCGACTAGCTGAATCCATCTAGACATGTGTGTCTGTCTGTCCATTATAAATTGTAAATACACTACAGGCCACAGTTATGGACCAATCTTCACGAAATTTTGCTTGTAGAATGGGTTCTGACCAATGAAGGCCCATATTGTTTTTGGCAAAGATCGTTTAATATTTAGGGGATGAAATGGACCAAAAACTTTATTTTTGTATGATTTTCTGGTCGCTCCAGAGGCCGCAATTATGGCCGAAACATCGCAAATTTTACATGGAGAAGGGGATCGGGCCAAAGAATAAGCATGCCTGTTTTGGGTAAGCTCGGTCAAATGGGCCCTGATTTTTCTGTAAAATTACAAAATTTGTATTCTGCAGCGCATATATTTACCCCTGAAGGAAATGGACCCAAGAAGTTGATACTATATCCAAGAGTAGTGGTTGACCTTAAAATTGATACCAATAATATTGTCGTATGTACTCGGACGTGGGAGTTACACTATAGCGCTGCTCGATTTGAAATTTTCCATGAGGATCCAGATATAGTCAAGGACAACGCCTATAATAATATTGGGATGAAGTGGACGGAAAACC